TGCTGCCTCTTTGAGACGAACCATTAAAAATGTTTATTGAATTAATTAGTTTATTATATTCCTATAAGTAGTCAAATAAAATTGTTATTTAGGTACTTTGTAAAAAGTATGGTTTTAAAGAAAAAGTGTATTTTTTGTAGAATCTCGAAACACATATTTTTATCGAAGGTCTTTAATTGTTAATTCCGATTGCATTTCCTACAACTTAAGAGTCCAGCATCGGCAGACTGTTCATGATGACACTACTAATCTGATGATCGCGTTGTGTGTATGTAGTTATGTCCACGGGACATTGGGACAGGCGCAGTGTAAGTCGCCCGGAACGATATTCATTTTGTAGCTCGTACTACTTTAACCGAAACCGAAACATTGCAATTGTATCTTTCCAACTTTAATCAGAGATCATGTATCATCGACAAGGTTGTATGTAGGCGTAAGTATTAGTCAGTCCTATCCGTTAAATTTATCTTTTGTATAAATTGTAGCAAATTGAGGTTGGTAGAAAGAATAATAGTTTTTATTGTGTAAGTAGGTGGCTTACTTACTGGTCCAATTCATTTTATGCTATATTATATGTTTTTTTCTTTATTATACAATTCCGCCGCCAATTTTTTTTACATAAATATTAAAACTAAAGTTTTGCCGCCTAATTTTTATTTAACACCTCTTTTATTGCGAACTGGAACATTTTAGAGAAATATTGAATTTTGTCGCCTCTTTAACGCGTCCACGCCGCAGCAAAGTCACAAAAGAATTTGATTTCTTACATTATCATGTCAGCATTTTTTATATTTTTGGGTAGCAACACTGTGAACTATCGCTTCGTTAAGTTACACTAGTACGGGCGGGGCGAAGCGAACCTGTTTTCGCATAGGACAAATTTTTCATTTACTACATATTGTTCCCGTTAATGTGGCTGTATATTAGAATACTCATTCGTCCACAGTCTGCTTATGCTCGACGGCAATAAATGTTCATGTCAAAGTGTTACCAGTGTTAAATAAGTTATTCTAGTTGTAGCGCGCCGGCTACCGCTAAGGTTGGTAAATAAAATTATTGTTAGGGAAACGTCCAAATCAGTCGACCCAATTTTTTTTAGCCATTGAATATGATATTTGAAACTTATATCCCCTGTAGAGTTGCCCTGCGTCCCCTAAGGATAGATGAAGCTACGTATATATAGCGTGTAAACACAAATAAATCTTTGATTTTTTTCAGACTTTGCAATATATTTATTGAGATTAACAATCAAACTTAACGTGAAACCAGATGGTTAGCTGATCTAATCTGATTATTCGGATAGATTCCATTTAGGCGATTTTCTTCTTATAATCCGTATATTTGTAGGCTTGCGTCTATTTCTAAAAGAAACCATTATGTATTAATTAAAAAAAATGAGATTCCTATTTAAACGATAAATATTGCTATTTCACTTTTTCAACAATAACAATGAACTGTTAATTTCCTTGAACCTTAATTAATAAATTTGTAGTCTTCCATATCATTATCTCTGATGCCGTAATTACTTTTATCAAAAGATAGTTTTGACAGCTTATATCGTCACGTTACGAAATTTGTGCACGTCAATAGCATTCGCATATAATTTTGAATTTCTTTTGGAGTGGTGTTGATTGTACCTATGGCAAGCATTTATGTGGGCATTTCACTTGGCTATTCGTGTTTGGTATTTGTAAACTTGACATCAGTCTGTCCTTTTCGTTCCTTATTAAGCATGATAAGGACAGACTGGTACCAAGTTTACGAATAGCAAATATGAATTGCCAAGTGAAGTGCCGACATTCGATTGTAATGGTATGTTTGGTTATTACTGACCTTAGCGTGCTCGGCCGGCCCTCTTACGAAGCTATTAGATGTGATAAATATAGCCGCCCCATACTATTCTCATTTTAAGCGTTAACACGACGATAATGTTTTAATAAGACTTGTCTTACAATAGTCAGGTATCTGCATTTCTTTCTTTCATTCGCTAGAGCGAGAGAGGCAACGAAATATTGACATTGAACCTTAGTTCTGTTTAGTTTAGAAATGTAAGTTACAGTTAAATATCAATTTTGAACCTTATGCCTCTGATATACGGTGTTTTTTGTTTTGTATCGTCGAGTTAGCACTTGAAATGACAGTGGGGGGTCGTTGACCGCAGTCAGCTGTCTGCAAGATGGCATATTGTTGCACTGAGTGATTATAAATGAATAGAATATTATGAAAATGTGTTTTTATTTCACCAAAACCTATTTTAGGTAGTATACTCATGACGCGCTGTCAAAGTTGTAACTTGTACTGCCAAAATGCAAACGACATACGATAACTTTGGTAGTTTTCGTTTAACGATGACTCGATGAAAATCATACTGCTGGTTTTTGTTTTTGATAGTTAACGCTAGGGGCGTTGCTAGTCAATGTATGAAACGAGACGATACGATTGATCGAAACTTCGAAAACGATTAAAACTCATACTAAGGAAACTGATATCAGTATTAACCCGTACAATCAGTCGAAGCCAAAAAAGTAAAAAATTGAATACATGAATCGAAAATGGATAGTTTTAAAGGCTTAGAAAAATATTAAATTTACATTTTTTAAATAATAGCAACATAGCAACATGGTACAATGACAGTTAATAACAAGTACAAAGACATTTAATACAAATTGTATTATCAAGATGCTTAGTAGCTGTTGGCCAGTATAACATCGTCAACAGATGCTTATCAAAACAATCCTTTCAGTCTTTGTAACTGGATTGTAATGGTTTTATAGGAAGCTTAACAAATTGCTCTACCTGATATTAAGTGGAATAGAGTTCACTTACGCAGCTAACTGGTGCAGCTGAGAAACGCGCCGCACCAACCATCTTTAAGTAAAATAGTGGCACCAGATGGGGCTTATTAAAATTAGATCTCAACTCAATGCCCCAAGACTTTGAATCTTAAATTTTTTAAGCTATTAACTGCTAGATGTTTAAAACTAAGGGAATTTTACTGGAAAAAGAACCACGTGGAACAGGCAGACTTCTTAAATCTTATTTAGTGACTTGGACCGAACTTGAATTCAACTTTATTCAACTCACTGTGGTTATGTTGAAAGGAATCCTGTTACACGGATAGTTGCTGTAGCTGACAAACGTGCCACACCAGCCATCTCTAAGAAAAACTGTGTCACTAGATGGCGCTAATATAAATTGGATTTGAAAAAAAAACCACCAATCGGCCATGTATTTTGGCCACGTCCAAATCGTCAGTCTTTTGAATCGGAGCTACTAGAGGGATCACGTAACATACCATCTCAATTTCTGACAGGCTCTAATATTTTCCATGGCGCAAGTAGTTAGCACGTTCGGCTGCGATTGTTGAAGTTGAGCAACTTTCGCAGTGGTCGGTCATTGGATGGGTGACCAAAAATTCACTATCTCGAGCTCCTACGTGCTTCGGAAGGCACGTTTAGCCGTTGTTCCCGGCTGCATCTACAGTCGTTAGCATCCGCCAATCCGCACTGGGCCCGCGTGGTGGGTCTTGGCCCAATCTCCCTATTCCATCCGTAGGGAAGGCTGATGATGATGATGATATATACCCCTTCATACGGCCAAGCAAACCGGCAGATCAATATTATTTCCGTCATCAGATACGGTACGTGAACCCTCTTCTAAAGCTTCTATTCAAAAGACTGATGATTTGGACGCGACCAAAAGTCGTTAATTGTTTTTTTGCTGCCCTACATAGACTGACGTTTGGCCCCACATAGAGGGCTCCTTCTTCTTCTTCTGTACGGTGGATGTTATCTGCAACTCGACACCAGGTGCCTATTTTGCGTGAGAGGATGGCTTTAGTTGTGCCATCCCAACTCGCCCAAGAATCTCAGCAGTGTCTTGGTATCCCCGCAGGCCTCGAGCAGAGTCTGCAGGCTGCCCAGGTGTATCATCCGTTGTCTGGTTATGTCACTGCACTGTAGCAGGACGTGAGTGCTCGTCTCTTTCTCCATGCAGGCTCTGCACAGAGGACTGTCCGAGACACCTATTTTAAAGAGATGTTTACATAGAGGGCTCAGGTATGGTGGGAACACTTCAAAAGGTGCAAGGTTGCTCCTCTTATTCTATTCTGCCTCTCGAGTAAATCCAAAAATCTCCAATTGGGCTCTTCTATTATAGTTAACTAGCAAACCAGTGAACCAAATGTTCACCAAAACCTGATTTCTCGAAAACCGGAAGTGCTACGTTACTCAAATCCGGTTTGTAGTCTTATCAGACTATTCTTAACTTTTAACTTAAATATTCTCTTTACGGTTTGGCCGCTGAAACAGCACCACAGACAGACGGACTCGTCTAATAGATAAGAGATATGGGCTGGCCATATTTGCCGAAGAACCGACAACCGTTGGGGTAGACGAGTTCTGGAGTGGAGACCGCGTCTAGGCAAACGTAGTGTAGGACGTCCTCAGGCACGATGGAGTGACGATTTGCGCAAGGTGGCTGGCAGGAGCTGGATGCGAGTAGCTCAAGATCTGAGTGGCGTGCATTTGGCAGGCGCGGTCGTAGCCTAAAATTTTGGAGGGGGTCACTCATCACACTAATAATAAAAACCGGCCAAGAGCGAGTCGAACTCGCGCATCGAGGGTTCCGTACACACTTGAATTTTCAAAAAAATTCACGGTTTTCGCAATTGTTTCTTTATCTGTACTATAAGACGTTACTTTGTACCAAATGTCAAGAATGACTTTAGATTTGGGGGGGGGGGGGGGGTCATGTCCCCTGTGACCCCCCCCCCCCCCCCTTCACCGCGCCTGGCATTTGGAGTGGCCTATGTCCAGCAGTGGACTAGGACAGGCTGTTGATGATGATTATAGTTAATATAAATTTGACACAATATTCATTAGCGGAAAACATAAAACGCGATAGTCATCTTATCACCCTAATCGGACACATGGAGTATTTATCCTTTGATTTATTATCGTTAACATATCAGTAATTACACTGATTTTAATTGTTGAATGCTGAGTTGTTGGAATTATAATCTAGCAATGTCGATAAGGTGCTGCTTTCTGGTAGCGACTTAAACAGTGACATTAAAGATGTTGTGGGCTACGGTGTTACTAATCGCCCTGGCTGTCTGTCAGGTAAGTACCTATCTACCTATATTCCAAACAGCCATATCAATCTCCCCATCAAAGGGGTAGATATAACTTTTTTCTACTTGGCTATGTTTAAATAATCTCTTACTACTCTTTTCACCTAGAATTAAACGCATTTTGTTTCTGGAAAGATAGATAGAAAGAAAGAAACATCATTTATTGGCCTAAAAAACACAAATAGGTAAAAAAAAGAAATTATTTAACGATTAAAATAAAAACAAACAGAATAACAATATGGAGAGAGAAGAATGGCCAATCAGGGCCCTGCCTCAGTTTAATGCTGTTACAATAGGACGGGAATATTCCCACCGTAACAAAGATAACTTTACCATTTAAGTATCAAAAATCTGCGTTCGATTTTGAGCTTTGAACTTGAATATTAAGGTTGAAAATTGTCTAGCAGTAGAAGATAGTGCAGGTTTAAATGAAAGCTCCAAAAATACGAGCTTATATAACTTGTATTGAATTATGTAGTAACAATTTAAGCAACTTACGGGTTAATTCTTATTTTTTAGGAATTGAACAAAATGAATTGAAATGATATAAATTAACATTATATACCAATAGCATCCTTGTTATATGCCTTTGTTGGATAATGGAACATTCCTAGGCTAGTTTTAACAGGTAGTTAAAAGTTATAATATTTTTTTTAAGTATGTAACTGCTCAATGTTTTAAACTAAAGAAAATATTACTAGAAAAAAGATAAAAATAAATAACTGTAATTGCTATTTCTTCTTTCAAATGTTTAATACCTGTAAAGGTATTCATTTGACGTTGTGGGTTATCAGCAATGCGAAGAGATGGCGCTGCCTTGCAGCTTAAGAAAGGCTAGAAAGAATTCGACACTGCCATCAGGGACGTGGTAGCATAATGGTCAGCGCATTGCAGACAGGAAAATGTTGTTTGTAGAATAATTCTGGTTTAGCTTTAAAAGCATTAAAATATCTTCTTTTTAGGTGCCAGCCAAAAGTACCCCCGTCGTCAGTGTAGACTTCATAGAGAATGTGTCTAGAGGAGGTGAGATTTTAAATAACATTTATTTACTTAAGCCTACGACCATAATCTTGCTCTATTATAGGCATATGAATTCTTTCATAGACACATAGAGAATGGACTCGGCTACAGTCGCATGAAATTTAAATCTCTTTTATAATGATGCTGTTAACGCCAATATCTATAACATGGATGGTCAAACTACGGCCTGCGGGCCATAACCGTTCCTTAATGGTTGAAATCCTGTCCGCGACCATCAACGAAAAATCAAGGGTTCTCAACAAAATATACTTTTTTTTACATGTTCCGACAAAAACCACACCGCTGTCACATATGGGGGCCATTCGCCTAACGGAAATGCTTTGGAAAACGCTAACGCTTTCGATTTTAATTTGTTATTTCGACCCCCGTGGCCGAGTGGTTTGTACGCCGGGTTTCATGGTGTCACCGACTCGAGAGGTCCCGTGTTCGAATCCCGGTGGTGGCAGATGTTTGTGTGATGAATACGAGCATTTGTACTCCAGTCATGGATGTTTAATATGTAATTCTATATAAATATACTTATATGTGTACAGTATATGTATTCTAACACAAGCCTTATAGTGCTTACTTTGGTGCTAGGTAATTGGTGTGAGTGTTGGCAATATTTATTTATTTATTTATTTCTGACCACCGAAGATTTTCAAATACCTCACGCTCATTTTTTTTAATATTGTTATTACCAATGAAAAAGAAAAAAAAGAGCGCGAGGCTAGAAATAACAAGATATAAGCGTAAGTGTTAGCGTTTTCCAAAGCATTTCCGTTAGGCGAATGGCCCCCTGGTACCTGTTTACTTCACAGCAAATTCGGTATTTCTTCCTGATCTATATTTTTGATTTGGTTTAGAGGGAGGGCCTTTGAAGTGGCCTAATCAAAATTGGTACACGTTAAGGAAAAACCCTTGCTTACCCCTGATCTATACAAACTATTGGCCACATGGTTTACTGTGCAGCTGGACAGGTAACGAGAATTGACTGATCATTCCGTATCCAGATGTTAAATAAATTCAAAAACGAATGTCCGTTCGATCGCTGCGTCTCTTTAACACTTTTCTGTTCAATTTTGGCTCATGCATGTTTGCTCAATCGATTCTCTATGGTCAATGACGCACCCCCATTAGCGACCGTATACGGGGGCGTGTCACACTCTTACACCCATATTCTTAGTCGCGTCCTCAAACGTTCCTCGACTCTAACTCATTCGAGGGCTCCTTAAGGAGTTCCTCCAAATACTGATATTCTAGTAGGTATCTTGAACAAACTTGAGAATTCCTCCACTGAGAGTACAAACAAAGGTATAAAGCATAAAAGCATAGACATATTATGTGTGTAAAGTAAAATAACACACAACAAACATAGGTAAATACCTACTTGAAATAATCCTGTCACGTAAAACTTCAAAGCCACCAGTAATTGTATTAAAGGCAGTACAGGTAGTCCTCTGTTATTACAATTTAGTATAATACTTAGCAGAGGAAATATTACTTGTATGACTGTATCTCTCTAAACAGAGCTCTTCTTTGAAACGAATCATTGTCGTAAACCTCAAAAGAATTTGCGGTGTCACGTAAATACCGTCGCGCCGGATTATATGGTTCATCATCGTATACGTAATCCATAAAATCCACCAATTCGTCAATAATGTCAAAATCAGACATAATTCTCTACCTCGAGTTTGACAGTTTATTCCTCGAGTCGACCTCCACTCTAGTGAGGAATATCTCAAGTGAAGGATATTTTTGTTGTCTAAGCATACGAATTTCCTCGAATGAGGTTGAGTCGAATGGAAAAAATCTCGAGGAAACGACTAAGAATATGGGTGTTACTCTCACAGTAAGGCGTTTTGCAGACGACGACGGGGCGGGGCGGGCATTTTGTCCGCGAAGCAATAAAAACCGCGTCTGCCCGTCGTTATCTGCGGCTGCCCGCGCCTCGTACACAATGGCCAAACGACGGGCAGAGGCTGTCAGTTCAGGACGTTCGTTCTAGTGAATAGTCCATCACTAAAAAGCGCGTGGCGCGGACTGAGCTGACCGCCCCGCGCCGCCGTCTGCGTTACTGCATATAAACATTTGTATGATCCACGGCGGGCAGCCGCGGACATGCCGCGCCGCCAGTGCCCGCCGGGCACCTGCGGCGCGGTCTTTTTGCCCTCTGTGTGCGTTTGTAATATAGGATTCACTTTGTGCTATCGTTCGCGGCGAAATTGACCGTCGTCTGCAAAGCGCCTAAGAGTGTGACATGCGACCAAACGCCGTGATTCAAGGTTGCACTTAATTTGCCCCCCGACCGTGACATCACACTAACGTGTCTACTCACGCGCGACTTATCCTCACGCGCCATCAACTTTGGCGATTGCGGTTTCAAACAAAGATTGCGTATAGCGCACTTTAGTGTAGGTGCTCTGTACTTTTTTTTATATCTAAAGCCAGGTAGACAAATGACTCTACCCCACCTGATGTTATGTTATATGATAATAGCAAACCAGTGAACCAAATGTTCACCAAAACCTGATTTCTCGAAAACCGGAAGTGCTACGTTACTCAAATCCGGTTTGTAGTCTTATCAGACTATTCTTAACTTATAACTTAAATATTCTCTTTATCTATCTCTTACGGTTTGGCCGCTGAAACAGCACCACAGACAGACGGACTTGTCTAATAGATAAGAGATAATTGACTAGCATCTGGTGTTTGTACGGTAGTAATGTAATATTAAATTGTTATTTGACATTTAAATTTGTGACCGCAATAAACTGGGTAGTAACTGAAAATCCATGAATTTTAACATTACATTTTAAGTAAATGATACACAGAGTTCGCGTTCAATCGCATCGCTGCTGTTTACGAACTTATCTTTATAAATTGGTGTCGATCCTGGCATGACAACAGTACCCTTAGCACGAATCAATATCGAATTCGTATCGTTTGCGAGTTTGAAATGTCATTGTCAAATGTGTACTGATTTTTATGTTTAGTTGCGTACTTTGTGGCGCTGCTGTTACAAGTTTCCATACAAAATTTGACATTGACTAAACGTACTCGCAAACTATTCGAATTCGATAATGGTTCGTGCTAGGGATACAGTGTGTTATCCTTGTCATTCTCTATACAGTATAAAAATTAGAGACTGATGTTAAATTTAGTTTTTAAGACTAGATAATCGCGCCATAATCGACATCATTATGTCTGTTAATTGATTCTGTAGGACAAATGTAAAGTAAAGATTTTTTTGTTAATGTCTTGTCAGTTTTGTATACGTATATTGGTGCGAATAAAGTTTTATCTATCTGTCTATGGTAGAATCTCGAATCGTATCCGGATGGGATGCAAGGCCGGGCCAACACCCTCACCACGTGAATCTGCGCATGCAGAGCGCGGCAGGAGCGCTCGCCTCGTGCGGCGGGTCCATCATACACAAGCACTGGGTGTTGACCGCCGCGCACTGCACCGCTCTGTGAGTTATCATCAGGCTGTTCATCTATACGAGCCGTTACCGCCAAATTATCGTAAGCGACACTTTTGTCGAAATGCGTTTTTTGTGGAAACTAATATTTTAAACCGTAACGGACCCATCTCTGTTGATATTTCCCTCCAAAAGAACACCGTTATAATATAACGGAAGGAAGGTTGGAGGGAAATATCAACAGAGATGGGTCCGTTACGGTTTAAAATATTAATTTCCACAAAAAACGCATTTCGACAAAAGTGTCGCTTACGATAATTTGGCGGTAACGGCTCGTATACATATTATAAAATGGTAGGAAAGTCAAAACTGTACATTGAATATTTTTTCTAGTTAGTTAATAATTAAACATACGAGTAAGTTCATATTCGAGCATCTTGAAAACCTGCAGCACGATCGAATACAGCTCTTATTGCTTACACTATAAAGGCACTGTTGATGAACTGATTGGTTAATAATATAATTCAATGTCTAAACAAGCCTACGTTGTGCTACAACGCTGAATCGATTTTGATGTATTTAAAGATAGCCGTTTAAGTAATAGCACACGTTATTAAAAGTTACTACGTAATAAATAGGGATTCTACATTTTAAATTCTTTAATGGGGAATATGTGAATACGCCGCGCACTGCACTGCTCTGTGAGTTATCATCAGGCTATTCATCTATACATATTATAAAATGATAGGAAAGTCAAAACTGAACATTGAATATTTTTACTAGAAAAAAATCCACGCAGACCAGGCAGCGGACGGGACTTGCACCCGCATCCTTCGCTATCCGGGCGAATGCACTGGCCATTATGCTACCACGGCCCTATTAGCCGCGTCGAAATTTTCCTAGTCTTAAGCTGCAAGGCAGCGCCATCTCTTCGCATTGTAGGTAACCCACAATTTTTAAGATTTAAACATCCAGCAGTTAAATGCTTAAAAAAAAATCATTGAATATTTTTTTTTAAAGTTTACTTGGGGTGTGATCTACAATCGATACCGAAGCCAAAAATATAGTTTTTGGAATTTTTGTCTGTTTGTTTGTCCGGGATAAACTCAAAAAGTACTGCATGGATTTACTTCAAATTTGTCACGAATATTATTAAGAAGTCGGGTCAACATATAGGCTACATATTATCACGCTATCACCTACGGGGAACGAGCAGTGAACTTTTATTTCTAACTCCACGCGTACGAACTCGCGGGTGGCCTCTAGTATTCGTATACGTAATAACTAAATTATAATTAGTTAAAGCGTCCTCTTCTCTATTCTCTGTTTACTGTGACCTGTTCAGCAATGTATCTACTAAGATCTAAGAAAACTGTAGAACGCAATAAATTATTGTTTGATTGATCTCCACTGCTGGGGTAACGCCTTCCCTACGAATACAATAGGGAGAGTAAGCCATGAGCGTGACCAACAAATTAGAAATGATATGGAAACATTACTCTCTAACGAAAGCCGCTAAAACGTACTAATTATTTAAGTTTATGAGTTGTACTTATACAACTCATAAACTTAAATAATTAGTATTTAAGTTTACGAGTTGTATCAAAACATATTATACAACTCGTCATGTTATACAGCTCGTAAACTTAAATAATTAGTATTTTATCAGTTTGTAAAGCGTTTTAGCGGCCTTTGTTAGAGAGATAAGATAATTTAGCGACTCGCACACAGACAAAATACTTTAATAAACCAAATTTATCGGCACATTCTGCTATCCATTCATTGTGTAAGATAAATGATAAATGGAAATCCCAACCAATCCATATGATCGTCGGTGGTGAACGCAGTTTTTTCGCCACTCCCACTTAATCGCAGTATGCGTGTAGCCACTTTTTAGCGTAGTTCGTATTCCATATTATTTCTAATTCGTTGGGAATAGAGGAAAGGGAATAAAAGGTAGAGAAAATTCGAATTCGATTCGACAGCCATCAGGGCCGCGGTAGCGTAATGGTCAGTGCACTCGCCCACTTCTAGTAAAATTTCCTTATATTATTTAATAGAGGAAAATCTTTGACTGACGCTCCTAATATTGTATTGTGTGATTTAAACTTTATGGCGGTTATAAGGTTACCAGTAAGCGCGACTATGCGCAGGCTTCAGTTCAGTGACATCCCGCTCGCGCCTACATCACTCTATGTCGTTTAAATGTGCCGCGACTTGCACTAACTTCACAGCAAATAAATTATATCTACTCGTGATATTAACTTTTCCCTGTGCACCCCACAGTCGCGTGTCCGTAGTGATTCGCGCTGGCATGGTGTATCTCCACCAAGCGATGGTGATAGAGGAGACGCGCGAGTGGCACAACTACCCCACCTACGTGGACGAAATGGTGCTCATAGTGCAGCCCAATGACATCTCTATACTCAGGATACGACAACCGATCGCATTCAGTGGTGAGTGATTTAATTCGTATACTAGCTTAGATTAAAAAAAATGATGTGGTGTCGTGGGACACCAGGTAGGAACGAAGTTCCTTCGGCTAATGTAGAAACGACACAAATTGCAAACTCGCTTGTGTATGCGACTGTCGCGCCTGCGCACGTCTCATTTAACGGTTTTATTCCACGCACTTTTTTCCACGGATTTTTTTCTTACGGTTTTACTATCACATTTTTTTCAGTTCGGTCGCGCAGCAAAATCCCTATCCCCTCCAAGCCTGCCGTAAAGAACTTCGTTCCAACAAAAAGGGAAGATATGGCACGCTCATACTAACATCAAATAAAATATGCTCCCACTCAACTACATAAGCAACTCTCACGCACGCACACGTCTGTAAATAAACATTCAATCGAGCGAGCGAGACAGAATTGGAAGCTTCAACGCAGCGCGATCGTAACGGTGGAAGTCCGCGTCGCTTTGCAGCCGACTGCGTTTTCTTTGCTCTTTCTACAGATGGCTGAGCTGTATTGTTGTCCTTTTCTTGATAAAAAAGGGCGAATCAGTAACTAAACACTGATGGCAAACCGTAATCTATGAGAAAAAAATTGTGTGTGTCAGCTCCGACGCACGACTGGAGTTTACTCCTTAAGTTCGATAACCTAACCTAACCTAACCTAATCGCAAAAAGAGTTTATTTAACTTAAAAAATATTGATTACTGTATGAAATTAACAAATTAATGAAAATAATATACATATATAAATATGTATTTATTAATTTCATATACATTTATTATAACTAATCGACGAAATATTTTACATTAAACTTTTTACAATAGTCAATTTCAGATGTGCATAAATATATCATTAGGAATGTTGATAAATTATGTTGTTATTATTATTATCAGACTATTATCATTTTTTTAAATATTAATTAAATCAACATTGTCTGCATTATTAATTACAGTGACAAGTGGTTTATGGTAACTAAAATAAGACATATGGACGTTCGTAGATACGTGGTTCACGAATCTTGAAAATACCGCATCAATGGTTGTACCATACCTCGTTGTCCCCATTGCTCTATCAGAGCCTAACCTTCGTATGACTGTTACCAACCAACTGATTGAGAAATTGCCCCGATCGCGCTACACACTCGGCAACGTGCAGGGCGGCAGGGACAATCTAGGAACCAAGGGTGGTATCGCTCCCGTGCCGCCCTGCCGCAGGGCAAATGTAGAAAATCACTTGCCTACACATCACACTTAAGGAGGCAATTAAGGGTCATCCCCACTCTTATATCCTAGATTGCCCCTGCGGCAGGACGTCTTAAAGCGAGTCATTTTTCAATTTTATGTTTCCGCATATGATATATAGGGAGAAATACAGATGTCGCCAATGCCCTTGGTTCGTCTTAGTGCGTGCAAGATCTCTCACCGTGGCGTAGGCTCGCGTACAGTACCCTTAGCACGAACCAATATCGAATTCGAATAGTTTGCGAGTGCGAAATGTCATTGTCAAATATGTATCTACTGATTTTTAGTTCTCGTTACGTCCGTTTTGGCGCTGCCGTTCAAGTTGCCATACAAAATTTGATAATGACATTTCGTACTCGCAAACTATTCGAATACGATAATGGTTCGTGTTAAGGGCACTGATGGCGTAATTTTTCGTCATTCAACTTAACCCATATAAAATATAAAATAATATAAAGAATAATATAAAAAACACATTTTTAAAAAAATCATAATCAAAGCTGTTCCACCGGGTTTCCAAGTTTTGCCTGTTTTATGTCTTTATTGACTCGACTAATACACGAGTTTCTGCATCTACCCTATTGGGAGATGAATTTTGTTTTTATTAAAATGTATGTATTGTAATGTTTGTTTCGTTCAGATTTCGTGAAACCCATTCGGATACAGCCGCGCGCTGACTCGTACCGCAACTACGACGGCAAGCTAATGTATGCCAGCGGCCACGGACGTACCTGGACTGGAGGTAAGCGCGCTACACAGGGTGGCAGAGCGAGAGGGGTGCGTCACCTAATATTTGCACGCGTACCGCAACAACGACGCTAAGCTAATGTATGCCAGCGGCCACGGACGTACCTGGACTGGAGGTAAGCGCGCTACACAGGGTGGCAGAGCGAGAGGGGTGCGTCACCTAATATTTGCACGCGTACCGCAACAACGACGCTAAGCTAATGTATGCCAGCGGCCACGGACGTACCTGGACTGGAGGTAAGCGCGCTACACAGGGTGGCAGAGCGAGAGGGGTGCGTCACCTAATATTTGCACGCGTACCGCAACAACGACGCTAAGCTAATGTATGCCAGCGGCCACGGACGTACTTGGACTGGAGGTAAGCGCGCTACACAGGGTGGCAGAGCGAGAGGGGTGCGTCACCTGATATTTGCACGCATATCGCAACAACGACGCCAAGCTAATGTATGCCAGTGGCCACGGACGTACCTGGACTGGAGGTAAGCGCGCTACACAGGGTGGCAGAGCGATAGGGGTGCGTCACCTGATATTTGCACGCGTACGGCAACTACGACGGTAAGCTGATGTATACCAGCGGCCAGTTATGCACCTGGACTGGAGGTAAATCTGGTGCACAGTAAGGTTCTTTTAAATATACAAGTTACCTTGACAGACGTACGGACGGACGAACAATGGAGGCTTAGTAATTTAATATCCTGGAAATGGAACCTTAAAACTATTGCTAGAAATTTTCAAGGTGTTGCCTACTCGAGAGGATCAGGGTTCGAATCCCGGTGGGGCAAATAACAGTATGATGAATTCGAGCATTTGTACATTTGGTTTATATTTCTAGATAACTATCAGTATATGTATTCTATCCTTTAGTATTTCATAATACAAGCCTTACAGTGTTTACTTTGGGGCTAGGCTTGTTGGTATGTTATAAATATTTATTATTACATTATCATCATCATCATCAGCCTATTAATGTCCCCACTGCTGGGGCACAGGCCTTCCCCATGGATGGAATAGGGAGATTGGGCCATGACCACCACCACGCAGGCCCAGTGCGGATTGGTGGGTACTAACGACTGCAGATGCAGCCGGGACCAACGGCTTAACGTGCCTTCCGAAGCACTAAGGAGCTCGAGATAATATTTTTTGGTCACCCATCCAATAACCGACCACTGCAAAAGTTGCTTAAGTTCAACGATCACAGCCGAACGCGCTTACCACTTGCGCCATCGAGCTCCTCATTACATCTATTGGCTATGGGCTCCTAATTACATTATATGTGTCTATATTAGGTAGCACGCCCAACGCTCTCCAGTGGGTGTATTTGCGAGCGATCTCCAACCAGAACTGCCAGCGCTGGTTCGGCACTTCCCTCATCACGAAGAACAGCATCTGCACGCAATACTTCAACGTCACCTCGCAGTCCACCTGCCATGTAAGTTTTTGTGTAAAATTAAAAATAAAAGATTTAAATACAAATGTCACATTACTGAAATCAATTGGATAAATATTGTGAATCAAAATGAAAGCCGAAAAAAAATTAAATTAAATAATAATTTACAGCTTATGAAATGGTGCTCAAAATCAATATAAGGGTTATATTAAAATGGATCACACGACTCGTCCTTCATCAAGACCATTGACGTCTGTTAAATCTGTTTCAAGTATTTTCGTGGTTTAGGTTCGAGAGCGTTTGTGCCAATATAAAAAGGTCCAACAGGTGTCTCCACGCCACCTGATTTTAAGTGACAGTGGAATGATGATGACGATGATCAGTACAGCAGTTTTACCTACCACACCAGCCAACCTCACTTGAGCATAAAACATGAACAAAGAAACCAGTGCAGCAGCAATTTTACAAACAATCACGTCTACAGCTCAGCTGTTTGTTTGTAGTTTTGCCACAGAACACAGAGGTTAGAAAGCCTTGAGGGCCTTGTGGCGGGGCAGGCGCGCCACAGTTATCTGTGATAATTTTTATTTTTTAAGCATGTAACTGCTTGATGTTTAAATCTAAAGAAAATATAACTAGAAAAAAATCCACGCGGACCAGGCAGCAGACGGGACTCGAACCCGCACCCTTCGCTATTCGGGCGAATGCACTGACCAATTTTGGTACCAACTGACTAATTTTTTTTTAAGCTGCAATGCAGCGCCATGTCTTCGCATTATAGGTAACCCACAATGTGAAATGAATACTTTTACAAGTATTAAACATTTGAAAGAAGAAATAGCAATTATAGTTATAATTGTTATTTTTTAATCATGTAACTGCTTCATGTTTAAATGTAAACATTTTATTTCATGTTTAAATTGGGTAACCGACAATGCGAAGAGATGGCGCTGCCTTGCAGCTTAAGAATGGCTAGAAGAATTTCGACGCGGCCATCAGGGCCGCGGTAGCATAATTGGTCAGTGCATTCGCCCGGATAGCGAAGGGTGCGGGTTCGAGTCCCGGCTGCTGTCTTATCCGCGTGGATTTTTTTTTCTAGTTATATTTTCTTTAGTAATGTATGAGTCAAATGATCATAACTTGACCAAAACTTAATTCTGGTTGCACCGTTGCTGTGGCGGGAGCGCTGATTGGTTCGATTGTTTGTTGTCGCGTCGTTTGATTGGCTATTATCTATTAGGTGCAAGTGTAGTGGGGGCGAGTTGGCGACATCGGTTCCTATTCAAACGGTTTATGTTTGCATTCGCCCGGATTGCGAAGGGTGCGGGTTCGAGTCCCGTCTGCTGCCTGGCCCGCGTGGACTTTTTTTTTCTAGTTATATTTTCTTTAGGTTTATGATTTGATCACCCTTCTAAACTTTTTCTGTGTTTTGTGGGTTTTGCTGAAGACGTATGCCGCTATCGTTTGACCTGTCCCTTAAATTATTCATGTTTAACAGGGGGACAGTGGAGGCCCACTAGTGTACGAGGAGAACGGAGTGCCCACCCTGGTGGGGGTCACCTCGTTCGTGGCCGGCGAGCAGAGCGGCGGCTGCCATTCGGGACTGCCGGCTGGTAAATATATACATACATACATATAATAAAATGGTAGGAAAGTCAAATCTGTACATGGAATATTTAAAAAAAAAACTTTGGGTATGATCTACAATCGATTTTTAGATTTTTTTTCCGTTTGTCTGTATGTATGTCCGGGATAAGCTCAAAAAGTACTGCATGATTTACTTCAAATTTGGCACGAATATAATTAAGAAGTCGGGTCAACATAAAGGCAACATATTATCATGCTGTCATCTACGGGGAACGAGCAGTGAACCTTTATTTCTAACTAACTCCACGCGTTCGAAGTCGCGGGCGGCCGCTAGTATATATATATATATGTATATATATATATATATGTGTATAGTAATACCACAGAAAAAATGTGAAATAAATATACTATACTAGTATTAATGCTAAAATGGTATTACTATATTCAACTTCCTCTGAGACAAAACGTGAACAAATCATTAAAAAGATTTTTCAAAAGGTCGAATTTTATATGCATATTTACATCAAAAAATTAAAAAAAAACACGTTAAAAAACCTAAAACTAGCTGTTCCCGAACTTCGAACGCATTATAATACTACTTATTTGAAGAGTAGTGATAAAGCGAATCATTTACGTTGAAATGTGAAATTTTGTCATCAGTCTGGTTACACCGGCCATCTTTACTCTCGATAAAAAGTTTTAGAAACATTGGATTATTAGTTTTCCTTTTGTCTCAGAGGTAGTTGCATAAAGAATAGATAAATAAAAAAAATTAAAGAGCTTTATATCTAGTGCAATTTCACTAAAACAATAATCATGCATTAAATATATATATATATACCCATATAAAAGAAATATGTTTTGGGTATTATAAAAGACAGTTTTTTTTCTAAATCTATACCACGAGTTTATAACTAAGGCTCCCTTACCGTCTTTGAAACCTTGCTTCAACCCAATATTTGAACAAAAACGTGATAATATTTTTTGGAATTTGCCTTGACTTTAAAACCTTCATTTTTTAAAGCAAGAGTTACTCTCTATCTGCACCATGACTTTGTAGTTTCTACCAGTGCCTTACTCTATTTCTATGATAATCAGTTGGGATTTCACACCTAAGCTCGCTTTCGCCATAACAGTTTCGCCTCAACACTTTATTGTGTCCAGGTTTCATTCGCCCCGGGCCCTTCCACTCGTGGTTCACTTCCGTCACTGGATTGGACTTCGACAACTTGGAAGAATGGGCCACAACTACCGAAACTCCGTCTACAACCACGGAACCTCCGACTACCACTCCTGAGTTGTCAACAACTACGCAACTACCTTCTACGGAACCTCCGACTACCACTCCTGAGTTGTCAACAACTACGCAACTACCTTCTACGGAACCTCCGACTACCACTCCTGAGTTGTCAACAACTACGCAACTACCTTCTACGGAACCGCCAAGTACCACTTGGTTACCAACATCTACGGAACCGCCAAGTACTACCTGGTTGCCAACTTCCACGGAATCGTCAACTACGACTCCTGAGTTGCCAACTGCAGAAGTGGAAACTACTACATGGTTGCCAACAACTACGACAAGCCCGCCGACAGACAAGCCTGACGAATCGGAAGAAAAGCCTGAGGAATCTGAAGAATCGGGCGAAAAAGAATCGGAAGAGGAAGAACCGGAAAGCGACTCGGACGAGGACTCCGATGAAGATTGTGATCCTGAACTCTCGCAATTGTTGAAGAAGTTGCAAGTCGAAGTCAAAGTTAAGATCAAGATGGACAAGACGAAACACAAGTTCCATCACAAACACACCATCAAGCATCATCGCAAATCTCATCATCATTAATGATGTGATATACATCCGTTTTGCTTCGAGTTGGCTATAGATAACCGTTACAAAATGTCGTCACAGGCCAAACAGAGGCACATCTACTGGTACCGTCAGTACTTGTCAGTACAAAGATTTCCGACTTACAGTGTAAGTTCATATTGTTGAAGAGTCTGTGCGGGAAGAGAATGGGCGTGGTGAAAAACGGAACTAACATTAAGATTTTTATTTGGCAATCAAACCCAGCAATCTGTAAAACGTCAAAGTTTTGTATTTATACGGATTTGTTTGTTGTTATAATTTCTTGCGGTTTTTTGTATTTAATCATGTCAAGGGGTAAAACCTTAGAAATACGGTAGAAAAGCACTACAGCGCCCTCCAATCTAAATCCCATTCTCTTTCCGCACAGACTCTATCTATTTTATTATTAAATATACTATCACAGACTCGTTATCCTTGTTTTTTTTTAAATACAACTCAATCTGAGTTAGATACTACATAGAATACAATTTTCCCATTTAAGCCCACTCTTGAGCAATATTTAAATAGTAAAAATCTGCCTTGTCGTTTGGGGTGTTCTATAGTATAAGTAGTTGGGGACCACAAGTGGGGATTTTGAGACATAGTCGAGTGCGGCAGAATAACAAAAGGAGGGCAAGCTTGCATCTTGTGAAGTACTCCACCCATACAAACGCTTATGTACAGCCGAACGTCTAGGTCAGCAAAAAAAATTAAAGAACCTGCCATGACTTTTTTTTTTATAGATAGGTCCGACAAATGTCTCTACCCCACCTGATGTTAAGTGAAGGCGAAGTCCAGACTCGAAGATAGCTGATACAGCAGTTCTACCTGCCACACCACCCATCCTCACCCTGCCGGCCTGCACGTTGCTTCTTCACGCCTCTTTTAAAGGATCCCAGGTTGTAAGAGGGAGGGAGGGAGGGGAGGGATTTACGGATAGGGCGACAAAGAAATGAGTCACCTTTCTTTGTACGCTTTTTTTTTTTTCTTTTTTAATTGTGGCCACAGTTAGACGGTGACAACGTAGGCCAGCGCGCGTAGTCCTCTGAAGGAAAGGAGAGGGAATAACTCCTCAGAACACTCGCCGTGGTACAGACGATAGAACGCGCTTAGTGACGCCACGTCACGGCGTAATTGAAGAGGCTCAAGGTAATATCTTTATCGCCTATGATGCGGATCGCGCGCCGCTGTAACCTATCCAAAGCATCGAGCAAGTACTTAGCGGAGCCATCCCAGAGGTGCGAGTAATATTCCACGCAGGACCGCACTTCTGGTCGCATCCTAATCGTCAGTCTTTTGATATGAGCTACTGAGGGTTCACGTAACATCTCTTCTTGAAGAAAGTTTGAATTTATCAACAGACTGAAATATTCGGCAACTGCTCTAAGAGCGATGAATTTATTTTCACTCTGAGGATGCTTATGACCTAAATACAAGCTGTGTTAATAAAGATATCATCATGATTTTTTTCTGATAATCTTGAATATATTTAAATCTAAAGAAAAGTTTACTAGAAAAAAATCCACGCGGACCAGGCAGCGGACGGGACTCGAACCCGCACCCTTCGCTATCCGGGCGAATGCACTGACCATTATGCTACCACGGCCCTATTAGCCGCGTCGAAATTTCCCTAGCCTTAAGCTGCAAGGCAGCGCCATCTCTTCGCATTGTAGGTAACCCACAATGTCAAATGAATACTTTTTCAAGTATTAAACACTTGAAAGAAGAAATAGCAATTATAGTTATGATTTTATTTATTTTTTAAGCATTTAACTACTAGATGTTTAAATCTAAAGAAAAGTTTACTAGAAAAAAATCCACGCGGTCCAGGTTGCGGACGGGACTCGAACCCGCATCCTTCGCTATCCGGGCGAATGCACTGACCATTATGCTACCACGGCCCTATTAGCCGCGTCGAAATTTTCCTAGCCTTAAGCTGCAAGGCAGCGCCATCTTTTCGCATTGTAGGTTGAATATATTTGCTTTTAAATAATGTATAACTTTTGTATCAATGGGACCGATTCTGACGTTACATTCTCTAAACCTAAACTTAAAATTAGAGAGCTAATTTTAGTTCAGGTTTAGAGTATTGGTATTCTGAAATTGCGAACTAACTAAATTAAAAACACAGTTGACAGCTGTAAACAAGCATCTAAATTGAATTCACAGATTATGTAAAAGCATCGTACCGGTAATTATCGGTTTACTCAAATTAGCAATAATTATTAATTATTCAGTGATTTTGACTCATTTCAGTAATTCTTTTTTGTTCTTCATCATCTTTGAAATATGGAAACTTAACTTAAGTTTGTTATTTTACTGTACGAGAAATTATGAATCAATATTAAAGAGTGAATACTTGCCTACTCTGTGGTACAGAGGGTTTCTAGATTGGGAGTGTTTATCTTTATTTAGGGGAAAAATAAGAACTTGGAGAAATTAAATCTGGTGGGAGAACTTTAGGAATCATATTTTTTCTTAGAAAACGCCAAGTATTTTTTTTTGGCAAAAAGATAGGGAAAGCTACCACTTATAAAATTAAATTAAAATATAGGTACCAACTAGATTTGGCACCTAACAAATCTATTAAGGATGATCAGTGACGATGGACCGTGTCGAGTCCTAAGCCGAGCTTCAGTCGTAGCATGGTTACCGAGCCGATCTGTAAATTCTGTAATGTACAAAGAAGTGCCTCGACCGAGCAATTAGGTAGGTATCGTTGCGCCGTGCTGCAGTCTAATCATTCAGATAAAGTAAATGTACTCGTCCGCGCAAAACTGTTTATTGTTTTGTCTAAGGTTCACTACGATTGCCGGGTGGCAGCGCGCCGGCAATGTATTCATGCAACGGGCCGTGGCCGAGCAAGCGGCACCAAGCTTTTTTCGAGCGTTGTTTCATGTGTTGCTCGGTTGTCAGTCGGTTACCGCCTGGTATAGTGTGAATGTGTCCATAATCCATGTAAAATAAATTATTTGATATTAGTTAACTAGAGGAGTTCAATGGCGCAGACAATTAGCTCATTCGGCTGCGATCGTTGAAATTAAGCAACTTTCGCAGTGGTCGGTCATTGGATGGGTGACCAAACATCTTCTATGTCGAGTGCCTCGTTCTCCCGGCTGCATCTGCAGTCGTTAACACCCGCCAATCCGCACTGGGCCTGCGTGGTGGGTCATGGCCTAATCTCTCTATTTCACCCATAGGGAAGGCCTGTGCCCCAGCAATGGGGACATTAATAGGCTGATGATGATGATGATGATTAGTTAACTCTGCTACGGCCGACAGGGTCTAACGTGAACCATACTTGAAAATTTCTCGCATCGTAAATTCCCAATCCAGCGTATCTATCTAATACATATAATTTTGGTTTCGGTAAGAGGTTGTAAAATTATCCCTTCGGCTGTTTTGTGAAGATTTTATTCTCATTTATTGTATAATCCGAGATGCGTAACCTATTTTTATTTTTTTTGTTTCTATCAGTTTTTGGCGAGATCATCCCAATTATTCATTTGGTGAAGATGCCCAGTTTAGGATATATAAAAACAAACTTTTCAATTACAAACAGTAGGTACTTATTTCGTGTTTGGTTATTTTAAGAAATATGTTTAGCTTATAAAAAGTTGGAAATAAAAACATTTCGAACTAATAGGTATTAAAAACTGCTTCATAGAAACAAAACCACATAAAACAAAGGAACAAATAATACATTAAAGTCTAAAGTACCTACATTTAAAGTCAAAACAACATTTGGATTGCAATTGGTGATTGGAATGCAAATCACTGACACCATACCTCTATTATCTTGTTAATTATTTGACTATGTACTTTAGATATAAGTAGGATCTGTAAGTATTACTTATAAAATTAGTACATAGATTTTTTACCTTTTTAGGTTGTTTTTATATGAAGTGGATTTTTATTTATGTTATATAAGATTTTACCTTAAATTATTTAGTATTTTATACAAGATATACGTGTACATTACCTACGAAAGACCACAATAGCGCAAGTGTAACGCTTTCGTTCTGCGATCGTGAATGTTAAGCAATTTTCACAATGGCCGATCTTAGGATGGGTGACCACCCCAAAATGTATTAAATCGAGTTCCTATGTTGCTGCTCGCTGCAGCTCGGATTTATTATAAGCATGACACATTAATAGGCTTATAATAAATCCGCATCGTAACATAGACCCACCTACCTTTTTAAAAAAAAGAAAGATCTAGCTAATATATTATTATCACCGTCGTTGTTCATTATTGTATAAAATTTATGTCTTTTTTCAACGAAATAAACCCATATCCAACCTTAACAACAAGTTCAAAACTTAAGTACAGCAATCATTAACGTGATATTTGGCCTCAATTATTCACATTTAAATTTAGAGAGGACCTCCGTAGGTCCTTTTAAATTTAGTGTGACATTTCTAATTTTAGAGAAAATATGACATTTAGAACGCGTTTCAGAATACCATTTAATCATCTAAATCTAAGTTGAATAACTTAGCAACGTCAATTTTAAATTTAGAGATAGAGTGTCATTACAGAATACCAAATTGAATTTGACAACTCTATATCTAATTTTAGTTAGTTTTAGATATAAGTTGGCACGCCAGAATTGGGCCCAATGTTTATTTAAAATAGTAACATAAAAATAGGAAAACAAAATATATACGATTTTTTAGACTTACATCTATGGGGCAGATGTTTGTGTGATGAATACGAACATTTTGTACTCCAGTCATGGATGTTTAATATGTATTTCTTTATAAATATACTATCCGCTAACCCGACAGAAGTTGTCCTGTCTACACGTCTTTGTGAATCTAAACCATTCTCAGATACCCTTGAACACACACAAAAAATTTCATCAAAATCGGTCCAGTCGTTTAAGAGAAGTTCAGTGACATACACACTCACAGAAGAATTATATATATAAAGATATGTATTCTGTCCATTACCCTAGTATCCCATAACACAAGCCTTTCATTCCTTAGTTAGGGGCTAGGCTAATTGGTGTGAGTGTTGGAAATATTTATTTGTTCTCTCAAGCTATACAATAGTGTGTGCATAACATCTACGTTGGTGGCTGTCCTCGTGCGGATTCCTATAATGCGACGACCGACGACTGAATATCCTTTATGCGGGATTTGCACTACCAAATTTTAAGGGCCCTCACCATGACTAAGGGTGGTATAATGTGAGTTAGGGAGTAAGAGACCCAATCTAGGGCGAGCTGCGCGGTGTAATTATTGCTACCACCCTAGCTCGGGGCCATGCCCACCCCTTCGATAGGACCCTTAAAATTGGGCAGTGTAAATGCCTTTTTACGTTCGTTGTTAGTCTGTGGGTGAATGAGGTTGACAGATAGAGATGTACTCAATATATTAACATAATAGATAAAAAACCTATTGATATAGATTATTCAATTGATAATATCATACCGTATATTTAAAAAGTAGGTAACATTTTTTTTGCCAGAAGATAGCATATAAAACTAAAAGTTAAGTAAGTTCTAAAGCAGTAATGCTGTATGACACATCATTCAAAATCAAATGTAGTACTTTTATTCTACATTGTGTTATGAAAGGTGACTTAAAGAATCACCTCACAATGCAGTAATTTTTTAATCTACTTCAAGGAAGGGGTTCTCAATTCGTTATTTTTTTTTATTATTGTTCACTCGTATCTCCATTCAAGAAATTTTTATGGAGCATATGTTATAAACTAGCAAATACCTTAGAAACTCTACCGAGTTTATACGCGCAGCTCTTGAAGTTTCTCATACAACGACTTGGCAACCTCTGAATAGCGCCATCTGTTGGTTTGTTTGCTAGTTTCTTTCAGTAGCGAGTAGGTATTAAATAAAACAACAGTCAAATTATAAATGAGTAATTATCTTAAATTTTCTGATGGTCTTAATTGTATATTTTTTCTTTAGTGGCATTAATTTTATTTACATTAGCCTTAATTAACACATTGAAATACTTATCTAACAACAATTTTTACATATTAACATATCTTTTGTATTAACATTTGAACATAACCCAGCCTTAACCTTATTTACAGTCATTTTTATGTAATTATCTATATTATCTTTAACCACTTAATTTATAACAAAAATATATGCGTAAATAATACTAACCTCTCTAAATCTCTAGGCATACTAAAAAACGACTTAAAATCTTTCTGAAATTTATAATCCTTGCATCTATATACAACACAAATTGAACCACGAACATAAGCACACGCTTTTTGAGACATTTTTACAGTTAATTTCACAGTTATTGCAATATAATTATTGTAATTGTAACACAACTCATCACAAAACACATTACAAATCGTTCACCTCCTACCGCTAGGGGCGCTAGTGTCGCTTTGTTTCCCGAATTCACCCAAAGCTGCACGTATTACTTCGGTTCTATAGTATTTGATACTACAATGCTATGAAGATTCCATGCATTCTACTATAATTCAATTTAAGTTAAATCGACTATTTAAAAATGGAAGCGCCCATCACTACACTGACTGACACTCACTCCTCTGAGACTGACAGTGACATTATGCGTCTTGGGTGGTTGTGGTTCCTTGGTTTTGTTGGTGTCTCTAATCCGAATTTCCTCAATCTCAAGACTTTATTTTTATAAATTTAATTTGTTCCGACTTGGAAATGAAATGGAGGGTTCAGATTCTACAGGTAATAATCGTCATTAACTATTTCATTTCTATGTAGTATAATCACTAATTTTTAGGAGCAACTTTTTATGTTTTGGATTTGTCATGTTTGTAATTTGTGTGGGCGAAACTTGTTCACAGTGCGATTTATCCTTTGTCTTTTGGTTCCTTGCTTCTAATTTGAACTATAATAAATTGTATCATATTGTTAAAATACGTATATACCCATTTGCTATTTTTTTTTTATTGTGTGACCATAAAATTTAATCCAATTGGATTGGGATTAGACCTTCACTATCTATGTGAGAGAAAAAGAATTTGTTTACTTCCGTATTTTAGCAGTCGTGAACATAATTTCACAACAACTATACCAGTAATTAAATATACCAGGTATTCTGCATAGTTATGATATAAATATTAGATCACAAATGTTTAATTTTTAATTTATTGTGTTAATAAATTAGTATTCTTGCAACTATATAAATCTGTCAATATGTAAATAATGTTCGTAATTTTGTCCATTAAAATATCGTTAATAGTAGGTATCTAAGGAATATGAATCACCAGATGTTGATTGTTACAATTAATAGGTTCAAAATTTTTTCTAAAACCATTTTATAATTAGATAATGTAATTTTTTTTATATGGCAAGGTCCAAGTGAACCAATATCTTTGAGTTAACTCGTCACATATTGGTCTTAAACAGACAAACAAGTTATGAAAATAAAATTACTTAAATTAACTTACAATATAACATTGATTGGAGTTTTGTTTGTGTTTTTTGCCTTTAGATAACCTTTCTTTGAATTGATTTTAATGATATAAATTGGCAAGCTACTACAATATAGTGGAAATTTCAGAGTGCTTTAGCTGCGCAGGATGCATGAACAATATCAGAGATGATGACTATGTGTGTGCACTTAACCAAAACTGGCATAAAGACTGTTTCAGGTATAGATTGTGTTACTTAATTTACTAAAAATGTAATTTTTATATTACGATAATAAAATCATTTTTAGATTTAGACCATAGAATAGATTTTTTTTAACCCTCAATGTAATTAACAGGGATGTTACGGAGCTTAGACTTTGATTCCAATAAGCGGAACTTCTGATTATTATTTCACCTTCTCCACTCTGGAGGTTTTAATCGGAGGGTGAAGCATTGCAAATAGCGATGGCGGCCTGCGTCGACCGTTACGAACTGGTTCATACCCATTGCATTGGGAGTTGTATGTTATTAATAATAACATTTAAATGAATAAAGGTTATTTTATAATTAAAAATGAAAAGGTTGATTGAATGATGTTTTAATTTGTTCTTAAATGGAATATATCTCTCTGTGACAACTGCCGACTCTGCCACTCACCCAATCAAATTTAAAAACTCCAACTCTGACTTCCGATAAATTTACCTTCGTTACGTCCCTGGTAATTAAAAGTGTTATCTAAAGTACTCAGCAAAATATTGAAAGTTTTTAGACATCTTATTTCCAAAATCTAGCAGTTACATGCTTAAAAAATATAACAATAATTGCTATGTCTTGTTTAAAATGTTAATACTTGTAAAGGTATTAATTGGACATTGCGGGTTACCTACAATGCGAAAATATGGCGCTGCCCAACAGCTTAAAAAAGGCTGGACATGGCCTTCAGGGTTGCTGTAGCATAATGGTCAGTGCCTTGGCCTGGATAGCAAAGGGTGCGGGTTCGAGTCCCATCTGCTGCCTGGTCTGCATTGTTTTTTCTTTAGTAAAAATTTCTTCAGATTCAAACATTTTAAGACTTAGGTGACAGTTCATCCTTTAAATATTTTACTCTCTAATGAATTATCGCCCTTTCAATTTTTTTATGTCGAATCTGAAAAATATCCTTGAATTGTTGTTAGGCTTTATTCTCCCTATTCTCTGATAAAGTTTTAAACATTGAACAAAAATAATTCGCTAAGAAGTTGACTAACGAAACGTCTTTACCATATGCCAGGTGCTCCGTTTGTGATGTGGGTCTCACATCCTGGTATTTTGAGAAGGAGGGTCTGCTTTTCTGTCGGAATGATTACTGGGCTCGATTTGGTGAGAGCTGTCACCAATGTGCACAGGTAATTATACATAATTTTTAACGGTTGTTCTTTTTTTTAGGTTCTGTACCCAAAGGATAAAAACGTTACCTGATTTCTGTCTGTTTGTCTCTAGAACGAAATAAGTTACAGACCTGAAAATTCGGTATTTCGTGTAGAATCCTTGAAATCCGAATATTTAGTTAAAATTTATATTACGTTATTTTTAGTATTTTTTTTACTGAATCAATTATTTATTATTCTTCAGTATAGTAGTAGTATCACGTCGCTAGTGGTTTAAATCTCGATAATACTGCGATTGGTGGAATGGAATTATATTCCTTTTTCCGGGTGGGAGCGTAGTCACAATACACACAAGAGCAGTACTCCGACTTCATACTAGCGCCCGAATCGACGCACGCACACAGACAAACGTCATTTACACGGCCGCTAACCAATTTTGCCAAGACAAATCTACGCAGTGCTACGTCACGCGCCACCGAGACTGGTCGTTGGCCGAGTTAAGTTAGCTACGCCGCGACGTCCGCGCCGCCTGCGTTCGTTTCGATTCCGTAACGTGGCAATAGTAACTATACTAATACAATAAAAATCTACACAAATATGTTTTACATTTTGTAGGTACCAACCCTAGCGCTCCGCTCAGTCGTAGGTATCTTATTTCAAGAAAACGGCTGAGTTACGCTAATGCCACTGCCGGATTTAGGGGAGGGCAACCGGGGCGAAAGCCCCGGGGCCTCCACAAACGAGGGGCCCCCACAATAGAGACTTGGGAAAAAAAATCTTTCAAATTCAACAGTAAACATCTTTTCCTTTGATATTTCTTTTTTGCTCTTTTACCTTTACCTACAGCCTACAGTACTTTGTACATCTAACATACATGATTATTTGATTATATTAATCTTAAATAACAGAAATCATTGATCTATATTTGTTCACTCCAATCAGGCAATCGGTGATTAATATCAAAATCTCAAATGGCCCTGATAAGCACTTCCAATTCACTACCCATCTTGAGGGAGTACCCCAATCGCTTAATGGCTGAGTGGGGTGGTACTTGCCCGCAGGGCCGAATTTAAGGCAGGGCAGGTGGGGCTGTGGCCCAGGGGCCTCCACAACAGCTTAAGAAATAACAACATTTCGATGGGTTAACAAGAATACAAATCCTAAGTGGCCCGGGGCCTCCACAATCCTAAATCCGGCTCTAGGTACTGCTCTTGTATGTATTGTGGCGTATTCGTGTAAGTGGGCTAAGAGCATTAGGTTAATGATGAAGTAATGTCAGGTGATAACTGGGCCGGTGATGGCGGCGGGCTCGCACCGCTTCCACCCGGAGTGCTTCACGTGCTGCGCGTGCCGCGCCCACATCGAGGACGGCCAGCCCTACGCGCTGCACGAGCGGTCCAGGCTCTACTGGTGAGCGAGTCTATCTGCATTTATTACTACACACCAATATGCCTAGCCCGAAAGTAAACTTACTTAGGGAAAACTAGCAAACCAGTGAACCAAATGTTCACCAAAACCTGATTTTTAATTAAAAAAAAAATGTATTTAATTAATTGAGAACTTCGGAGATTTTGTGTGGTTTCGTTTGAAATTCGTGATTTCTCGAAAACCGGAAGTGCTACGTTACTCAAATCCAGTTTGTAGTGTTATCAGACTAATCAGACTAAGAATAGTCTAACTTATAACTTAAACATTCTCTTTATCTATCTCTTACGGTTTGGCCGCTGAAACAGCACCACGGACGGACGGACGGACTTGTCTAATAGATAAGAGATATTTATAAAAGTATCAGTATATGTCATCATCTTCATCATCAGCCTATTAATGTCTCCCCTGCTGGGGCACAGGCCTTCCCTATGGATGGAATGGGGAGATTGGGCCATGACCCACCGCGCGGGCATAGTGCGGATTGGCGGTTGCTAACGACTGCAGATGCAGCCGGGATCAATGGCTTAATGTGCCTTCCGAAGCACGGAGGACCTTGAAATAGTATATCAGGTCACCCATCCAAAAACCGACCACTGCGAAAGTTGCTTAACTTCAACGATAGCAGCCGAACGCGCTAACCACCTGCGACCTCGAGCTCCTCAGGACAGGGCAATCCGTTAAACGCACACTGGGCCCGGGTGCTGGCCCATGGCCCTATTTCCCTATTCCATCCATAGGAAAGACCTGTGCCTCAATAGTGGGGACATTAATAGGCTGATGATGAAAATTTGCCTTACCGGGATTCGAACCCGAGATCTCTCGAGTAGGCTACACCATAAAATTCGGCGTACATACCACTCGCGCCACGAAAATCGTCTATTATAGTACATTATAGAGCAATGGCCTACCTTGAATTATCATTGCCCTACCTTAAATAGCAAAGGGCGACAGAAACATTAAAAGGCATAATTACTGACCTATATTTCGATTTGATTTACTAATTCTAGGAGGGTGCAAATCTTAAATACTGGATCCAGATTTGAAAATATCTCCCTGTTATATTTTTATAAATGTACATTTTCAGATTATAAATAAACAATAAACCATTACGAATTTTGCCTGCCTTCTACTGCAAATGTAGAATGACTGAATTTGCCAACTTGCAAAGAACAAATTCAGCAAAGAAATTTGCTGTTTTTTTTTAGTACAAGCACTTACTTGCAGTGACCTTACTTACCAAGTCTTCCTGACTTGGTATTCTGGTTGGGTTAGGAAATGAATCTCTCATTGCTTTTCTAGATTTATATTTGTAGTCTGTGATTGGCCATTCATTTTTTAAGGAGCTCGATGGTGCAAATGTCTAGATGGAGATGTTGAAGATAAGCAACTATCGCAGTGGACTTCATTGGATGGGTGTCCAAAAATTTACTATATCAAGCTCCTTCGTGCTTTAGAAGGCATTATAAGTAGTTGATCCCGGCTGCATCTGCAGTCGTTAGCACTCACCAATCCGCACTGGTCATGGCCCAATCCCCATATTCCACCATAGGGAAGGTCTGTACCACAGCAGTGGGGATATAAATAGGCTGATGATTATTGTTCATTGATATTGATATTTCTTGGCATAGCGAGGGGTGCTACGAGCGTAGCTTATGGAGTCTATCGCACGCCATCCGATTGGTGGACGTACCGGGTGGTGCACTACGTCTTGCGCCGGACGGGAATGCGCTACGAGTCACACAGTGAGTACAAAGTCTTTCCGCTACGGCAACTCTCTGTGCTACGGTGTAGCACTCTAAAATTCAAACGATATCCTTATTATATATAGGTTTGATGACTACATTTGTTTATAAGATGATTGCTTGTCCTGTTTAAAGGAAAGTGGAAAAGCAAGAAAGCATGAATGTGTAATTATATTCCTTATGTATTAACAATAATTCTCGTGTCTAATTTTTATATGAAATTGCATGTACGTGTACTATACACCTAATATAACATTTGAATTTTTATATTCACTCGTATTTGATTATTTGTAAATAATTATACTAACAAAGGTGGCATTGCTTTGTCCCGTAACTTTTATGCGAAAAAGTTATTTTTATTGTTCAACACAAACTAACATGCTATATTCATTAGCATTCAACTTCAGATAATATTCATTATTGCGCGTCGCAAATGACAAACTCATGTCTGTTAGGATTTAAAAGTAAGGCTAAAACGCCCTTACTGCGGTAGATTTAGAGGTATACCTATTTCGTGTCGCATATTGGCTATTATTATTCGGGAATATGTTTGGCGCTAAAAACGCTCTTAATGGGCTAAACATAGAGGTTCAGATTTGCGATAGGGCGACACTCGCCCCGTGACCGAATCGAAATCGAATTGTCGGAAAAAACGTACTACAACCTTTAATAATGAAAGTTCATACACAAAAACCCGTAAAATATAATATTTAAAACTCGTGTGTAAATAGTACATATGATATAAGTGCGGTAAGTTGAGAATTACAGCCGAGGCGATACTGTTAGCCCAAGCCGTAGGTGAGGGCTATAAGAAGCCAGAGACTGTAATTATCAAACCGCACGTATGTCATACGACTTTATATAACGCATTTGCGAGGAAATAATATATCTACGTACGTACTTTCTGAAAATGAATTTGCACCTTTGTTTGTTTTCCATACGATGAAATTTTGATACGCTCGACTGTAAGTATCTATCCGTGGATTTTTCGACTTCTGGCGGTGTCAAATGAATAAATAATTCGTTACTACTTGACAATATCTTCAAATAAAAACAATACAGCGAAAAGAAAAAAAAACTTTATCACAGATTAGCGATGCACGCGCATCAACCCTTTTTTTAGGCAAAGGAACAAAAAGCAGCCAGTGTTACTAATATAGTAAATTAATATTTTTGTGAATTTGTTACCGATACATGGTTGTAATTTATTGTCAAAATACATCAAATTAAAGAATTGAATGTTTATATATTATATTTTATCTCCCAAAGTTGATTTTATTAAGAAAATGTTGGCTACCTTTCTGACATAAAAACTCTTTGCTAAGATTTAAAAAAAGTATCGTTCACTTTTGACGGTACCTAATAAGCCGTGCGTTTTACTTTACATTACCGCACGCGTGTGTAATGTGATAGATCATGATATTGAAATTGGTGCAATTATATACGCTTTACGAGCAAACGTGTTATAAAGAAATATATGTATATTCTCCTACAGGTATTTTTATATGTAGAAGCTTACTTTGTCAAGATAAAACGGTCACCTTACGCAGAGGAGGGTACTGGTGCACTGAGATACAAGCTTTCGCTTAGTTCAGGTACCAGTCCCTCGCAATCTTATGAAATATACAAATATTGTTTCAATTATAAGACGTAACATGTAGATTGTTGAGGAAAAATAAATAAAGTTATTATTATAGTGGAGCCCCGGTAATCCGGCCCCTGGCTAATGCGGCACCCCCTATAATCCGACATCGTCTATTACATACAAGTATTCGCTAATTCACGATTGAACAAGTTACAACTTGTACGCACCATCACTATTGTGCTCGAAGCGTAGGGTATTGTTTTTTTATATTTTTTTGTAAAATCTATAGCATTAATGAAGTTACTTTTATAATAAAACGTAATTTTTCTATTGTGTTGTTTAATTTACTAAATTTGACATACATAACAAAGTATGATTTGTAATCTTATCATTGGATCTGTAATTTGTCGGATTACAAGGTACTCTTTTGTAAAAAAAAAACGGACTATAGGGGGTCTTAGGCAGTACTCTATAATCCGACAAATTCAAAAGTTCGACACTGCCCTGCAAAATGTTTGTCGGACTACCGGGGATCTACTGTATTATTACTAGCAAACCAGTGAACCAAATGTTCACCAAAAAAAAAAATGTATTTAATTAATTGAGAACTTCGGAGATTTTGTGTGGTTTCATTTGAAATAGAAATCACGTGATTTCTCGAAAACCGGAAGTGCTACGTTACTCACATCCGGTTTGTAGTCTTATCAGACTATTCTCAACTTATAACTTAAACATTCTCTTTATCTATCTCTTACGGTTTGGCCGCTGAAACAGCACCATCGACGGACGGACGGACGGACGGACTTGCCTAATAGATAAGAGATATGTGACGCCAAAATCGCCCTTACTAGTTAAGATATAGAGGTGAGTATTGCGTGTGTCAGTGGTCGCGCGTCGCTGGGGTGTTGCGGCGCGCTGGGCCGCGCTGTGGCCCGCGCCGCGCTCGCGGCCTGCCTGCATCTCTTGTGCCGCAGGTACCGACGCTGGTAGGAACCAATGTTCTATCCAAAACAGCTTTCAATAAGTCGTAGATTGATATAGTTTGTTCTGTAGCCTCTACTCTCGACGAAGTTTTTCACTGTAATTAATAATGCAGACAATGTTGATTTAATTAATATTTAAAAAAATGATAATATTCTGATAATAATAATTACATAATTTATCAACATTCCACATGCACATCTGAAATTGACTATTCTAAAAAGTTTAATGTAAAATATTTCGTCGATTAGTTATAATAAATGTATATGAAATGAATAAATATATATTTATATATGTATATTATTTTCATTAATTTGTTAATTTACCCTTTCATACAGTATCAATCTTTTTTAAGTTAAATAAACTCTTTTCGCGTCTGGTTAGACTATCGAACTTAAGGAGTAAACTCCAGTCGTGCGTCGGAGCTCACACACACTTTTTTTTTATTGGTTTTCTAAGTCACACATTGATTATACATAAAAATATCTGTGAACTATTACAATAGTTTGTGTCGGCAAAGTTCCCGTGGATAACGTTTAATTACAAATGACTTACAATGTGTTACTTATGTTAAACAAAACAAGTCAGTAGTTGCTATTATAAAAATACGTCGTATTTATACTCTGCAAACGTTTATATATAAATAATATGAGATTCGTGTGATATTCTCTAAATAAAAACTAAAAGTGCATTCGCCCGCATTGCGAAGGGTGCGGGTTCGAGTCCCGTCTGCTGCCTGGTCAGCGTGGAATTTTTTCTAGTTATATTTTCTTTAGATTTAAACATCAAGCAGTTACATGCTTTAAAATAATACAAAAAAAAAATATAACCAAAAAAACTAATGTTCACGCGGCTGAAGTCGCAGGTGGCCACTAGTAACATTATAAGTGTTGAAGTATATTATGTTTGTTAATAAATCACGCAAAAAGGCTGAATCGATTTTGATGAAAACCGGCACTCACATAGTTTATGATCTATGATTTTGATAGGAACATATTTTACGTTTTGTATTATTGTGGAAAACAATGTTTTGTTAGGAGAAAGAAAGAGTAGTCAGTTAGCAGATAGCTTGGACACGAAAAGACGGGAGTTTTTTTTTCTACTTAAATAGAAGTTCATTGGTTACTCTTGGTTTTAACGATTTTGATGATTAATATAAGATTTAAAATATTAACATTTGCAGTTCATATCAATGTCGTTATGTGGATGAAAGGTCAATATTATACTTATTTAAAATAGAATTGATTAAGCAGCCGTTTGAAAGATGTAAAATTTCTGAAAACTTCGCCTATCTTCGTTGAGAGTAGGGATTTTGAACAAAGTAGCGATTGGTAGATTCTAATTCATATTTAGTACAGCATGGAACAGTAAGGATCAGTACCCCTAGCACGAACCAATATCGAATTCGTATCGTTTGCGAGTCCGAAATGTCATTGTCAAATGTGTACTGATTTTTAGTTCTCGTTACGTACTTTGTGCCGCTGCTGTTCAAGTTTCCATACAAAATTTGACATTGACATTTCGGTTTGCAAACTATTCGAATTCGATATTGGTTCGTGCTAAGGGTACAGTACAGAAAGCTGTGCTTTTTGTACTGTACCTTTAGCACATAAAGTTCCACGGGGTAGGAGTTAGGGCTTGAGTAGGCAGCACGCGAGTGATACTGTATAGTATCGTAATAGGGATGATGACTATTTTTTTTTTCTTCGTTTATCAGGTAGATTATCAAAAAGTATTGGACACGTATTTTTTCTTTTTTCACATAATATAAACATTGCAGAGATATATTGATTTGAAAAGTCGCATGACGTCACGTTTGAGTACACTCATAAGTGAAAATTCACTCAGAAGTGACGTCACGAGCCCCTACTCCCAAACTTTGACGCGCTATAACTTTGTCATTTTTTGGTTGATTGCCCAAAGAAAAAATACGTGTCCATAATTTTTTGATCATCTAACTGACGGACTAAATAGAATTTCGTTTACTGTACCCCGTCATCACCCCTATTGTCTGTGGGCTTGGGTTGTTACTTAGCATCGCACGAGCCAAATCTTGCCAATCTTTGGCAATAAATAAAGTCATTGATATATGAAATCCAGTGCTCGGATGGGGAGATGTTTTATAATAATAATAATGATAAAACTGAACGCAATGAGCATTGTATCTGTGTTTAGAACGCTTGCTTTTAAAGTTTGTCGTAGATTTTGGTATTGTATAGCTTTAGAGAAAAGATTAGTTGTAAAGAAACCCAGTTAAAATGTATTAACCGCTGTTATCATTGTGGACGCTATGACTTTAAAATGTATCTTTATATTTCCCAAGTTTAGTTTGTATTTTTTTTATACTAAACTAGCTGTGTCCCGCGGAGTTACCCGCGTTTTATTAGTCATAATGTAGTCTATGTGTTAATCCAGAATTTCAGCTAACTGCATA